GTTCTTGCTGAGCATCAACTATCGAGGACAGAAAATTCAAATTCAAAACCAGCAAAGTTTCACAAAAATCATGAAAATCGCTCGTTGGTGGCCAACTTGGAGCAAAAGAGACTTTTGTAACTGAACTAACTTTGTTAACTTTATATTCTTAAGGAAAAAAAAATAATATTACATTTAATTTATTATTTATAAGGACAAATAGTCATTTGCCATGCCGATGCTCATTTTTAGATTAAATGCTCACAAAACGCGTAGATGTTCAATTTGTGTCCGGGGAGATACAGTGTTTCCAAGTAGGTACTCAGTACATAGAGTAGGTGCTCAGGTATGTAAGAGTAATAATGAAGTAGGTACTTCGTACTTCGAATATGAGTATCTACTCAGTTTTATTCATACCACCCAATGTCTCGCTTCAATATTTGATTATGTTGATTATGAGCACAACGCTGATCAACTTCCGTATCCGAATTACCCATGAAATAAATCATTGCGATTTACACCTGAGGTAGTTCGTCGCACATTTGATTGACTTCGTCGACCCATGTCAGCTTGTCGTCTTCTCGGCATTGTAATGAACTTCACAAAACGACACAGAATTATTTTCACAGTCAATCAAATCTGTAAATTTTGTCTTGAGAATTTTAAAATACTGAAAACTTCAAATTAAATCCTCGAATAACGGTAAAGTTTGAGGTTTTGTCGAAACCAACAAATTGAACATAGGTAAATAGAATGGCAGTTCAAAATTAATAAGAAACTTTCGCAATGTGTAACTAAATTCACTTTAACCAAGACTTTTCTTAAAATAAACGACGTTTTTTTTTTTACGAAAAAACAAAGAACGACTTGAAATGCAATACACAATCGCACGGAAGAATTAGTTTTCTATGACACGTCAGTCAGACGACAGGTCCGTCAGGAACGCCAACTATTCAAATTAATTCGAAGTGGCGATTCTCATACAAAATTTTTAATTTTTTTTATCTTTTAGCTGTTTTATTTTTTATAAATATTCTTACATATAAACTTTGTCCTGACAATAAGGAACACGTAAAAAAAAGAATCATCCAATTCGGTGCAGTCGTTCTGAAGTTATGAGCGTACATACATTTCGGCGATTCATTTTTATTTATATAGACTAGATAAAATTTAAATAACATTTATTTATTATTGCAGGTTTTTGAGGATCGCGTTGGTGGTGGGGATGATCAGACAAATTTTGGTCAGACTTTTATCATCTACACGATGATATACAAAATTTGACAACAATCGGTCCTGTAATTTAGAAGATTATATGTCTAATAGAAATCGACACAGACGTGACAGACGGCAGACAGCAGATGCCAGACGACAGACGGCAGACAGCCAGACGGAAACGAGAAATCTATGTTTTCGTATTCTAGAGATCATGAAATGTCGAAAAAACATAAAAGTAGCGAGTCGCCCGATGGACTCGATCACAATGCTTCCTCAGCTTACGGGAACTAAAAAAAAAAGAAGGACCGGTTCTTGCGGCTATTTGACAATGCGAGCACTTGTTGGCTTGCGTCACAAAGAACCTTGGCCGGCGTTGCTTGTAAAAGGTTATTATACTCTGTGATTTTTTTGCGAAAATTTGGATGCCCAGGGGAAAGCGGACGGAAAAGAACCAATTTTTTCTTACTTTGGGGGTCATAAAACGTCGAGAAAAGATGAAAGTCTTGTTTTTCGAAATTTCCTTCAAAATTATTAACTACTACATTATTATGGCCATTTTTCAACATAGTACACTAATAAACTATTTATTTAAATTTTATTTAGACGGTTTTGTTGTATCAAAACTAACTTTCTAATTAAAATTATTTTACTTTTTACTCTCCGAACGTGAACTACGGGAAGTATTGTAATAACGGGTCCATTTGACAATAGCTAATTTCATATATTCTTGATATTTCATAACCCCTAGTACATGAAAAACTAGATCACCCATTTCCGTTTGTCATCTGTTAGCGATTTTATTAGGCAGATAATCTCCGAAAGTACTAGAATGAATAATATAAAATTTTTAACTTAGATGTATTTTATGAATATCATGTAGATGATAAAACGCTAACCAAAATTTGTCTTATCATCCCCGCCAACAATTTGATGACGTCATCTCAAAATTTTGCAAAGTAAATACTACTTAAATTTTATAACATAACGTACAGTGACAACGTTCCTTTTGTAAAATAAAATTTTATGATGGTTTAACACAGTTAACTTCATAGCGGTTCATACCTACCATAAATTGCAATTTTAAAATCGGACTAGTAGAAGCACTAGTAATCCGAGCGGTTCTTAGCTACCCTTCTTCTGGTTGTACAATAGCGGCGCACGCCAAGCCGGTGGGACACTCAGTAAGTGAACAGCTTAGCCAACCCCTCGTAGTGACATTGTAAAATTACGAGTATATTGTATACAAATGGAACGTTTTTAGTATACTTCTCTACCTTAGATTTATTGAAAAAAATTAAATTGCCAATTAAAATTTATCTGTCCCCTCCAAGAAGTTGGTGACGTCATTTTTAAAATTTTGCTAAATTCCATTGAAAATGTGCAAAATATGAGTACTCTATTTTTACTTCCCAAGCGTGAGCTAAGGAAGTATTGTAATCGAGTCCATCGGTCGACTGCTACTTTCACATTTTCTGGATGTGTCATGAGTGTCATGGCCCCTGGAGTGATAAACAATACGTCACCCGTTTTCGTCTGTCTGTCTGTCCGCTGTCTGCGTCAGTTTTTGTTAGACAGAGAATTAATTTCTGAAACTAGCAGACCGATTAAGGTAAAATTTTATATGTGTATTCAATCCCACCAAGAATGTATACATACTAAATGGGTGTTACATTGTATAAAATAACATAAAGTCGCGATCTTTTCTATAGAACCACTCCCTAGTGTAAATTTTCAAAATTTGTTTGGTGTAAGTGACCTTGACGGGTTTCTGGGGGAAAACATATGTGTCAAAAATTTGACAGGTTAGATGGCCCCATTGTCAAATGTAGATATTTTATTTTAATAAATATATGAACAGAACATACAATCTGCACAGGACACAGTGCGGCATAGCTGAGGGCAACCGAAACATTCGTGTTGTGCTAATTTCGATTGCCATATCAACTACCGCTACCAACCGCGTTCGGCGTAAAGTACTAGATGACAGGGCTACCAACTTGACTTTTTATCGAGTGGTTCCGTAGAAATGACCGCTACTGTACTCCTACACCTATAGTTTAAGAATCCGTGTTACGGTTTTTCCGAGACATTCAGATTTTTGGAGAAAAAATTAAAAATAAATAACAATTGCAATTCAATTTTGAATCTATAAAACTAAATGTTTTGAAATCTTTCAAAAGTTTCAGTTTTAAAGTTATCGTAAGCATGGTAATTTTTTTATTACAATAAAGTTGTTTATCCCCTACAAAAAATTGATGACGTCATCTCAAAATTTTGCTGAACAAATCCTACAAAATATGCATAAATTGTTTATACAAATGACTCAAAAAAATAATTAATGAGTCAAGTTATTTTATTGATTAAATCAGAAACTACTTAGTCCATTTTCCCGAAAATTTGGAAATACTATACTGTTATTATTAGTAATGCACAATCTATCCAAATTAATATACCTACGTGTCCTTTCAAAATGTTGGTGAGGTCACAAGTGCAACAAAATTTGCTAAAGGAAAAACTCATTTGAAACACACAAATAGCACACTTCTTTTCATTTACTTTAACATTGCACACATAACTGTCTTTATTTCAACTTATAGGGGTTCTCATAAAAACAAAATTAGCAAAATCAAATTTTATAATTTTTCGAAAAAGCTGGATGTTTTATTGTACTTCAGGGGCGAGGGAAATCCTGTAGAAATAGACTTATTTCTGTAGAAATAACCTTAAACGAATTTTTTAAAACTGCTTACACAGGTGACTCAAAAAATCTTATGACAATATACCTATAATTTATTTCATTCATTAAATCGAAAACGGTTACTTTATTTTTCTGAAACTTTAGATAAAGAGTATCTGCTGTCGTTTCTAATATTACACTGTACTAATCCAAATTGGTATAATGTATCCCTATTAAAATGTTGATGACGTTATCATACAATTTTCTCACATGAAATATCCACATACAATGCTTCTTTACCTATAGTTTAACAGTCCACGCCTATCTTTATTTTAACTTATAGGAGTTATCTTTAAAAAAATCACAAAATTATACTTTATAATTTATCTAAGAAACTAAATTTGTTTGGTTGTACATATACTGTGGTTGTACTTCAGGGGCGTGCGAAGCTTAGATCATATATATATATATTATATGATCTAAGGTGCGAAGTTCCGTCTAAATACCTAACTTTCGACTAATTTCTAAGTTTGGCCAAGTATAAGAACACTGCTACCGTTGTAAGGAATTATTTCGATGGTTTTTATTTAAAACGAAACCCATCCATCACACGTTAAATTAAATCATAATTAGCAGACAAACCAGATCTGGTCTCGATTCTGTTAAAATTTCAACCATAATTACATGTTTTGGTTTTACCAAAAATACATTTTACGTTTGATGTCTTAAATGTGTTATTCTAAAATTGTGTTAAATCTTAATTCAGAGTTATTAATTATTGTAAAAGAAATATATTCACGTAAAAAAATCATCGTTTAAGAAAAGAGTTCTTGTAGATAAAGTTGCATATGCAAGACGTGACTTAAAATACACATTATTGTACTCCTGTGAGTCCAAACCTCATGCACAGCTCTGTTTGTAAAATTTACAGTCGTAGGATATCAGTATTTATAACCCAATAATAATAATAATTAACAGTTAGAATATTCTTTATAATGAAAATCATGTTGAGTTCTGCAACCAATATTACACGGTACACAATAGATGTATGTACGCGACATCTACGCGGCTGCCTGTGAATCGCTCTTACCATTCCTACCCTTTTTCTTTATTTCATCAATTATGGTGGAAGCGCAACAAGTGTTTAACTTTTATCAGTAAAAATACTTTAAAAAAATTGTTTTACATTATGAATATCGTTTAGTGATCAGTTTAATCCCTTCCGTTATATTGTAAGTGCTCTTATTTTCTATATTATCACCAATAACGTAACCACAACTCGCTTACAAAATCATTTGAGGAGGACCCCAAACAAGCTTTATAAATCTTCAGAACTATACATTTTTTCAATATGGATGTGAAAAACAGCCTGGTTTTAAAAAAGAAACGAGAATTGTTGGTAGGAATTAACAAAAGAAAAATGAGCTTGAGGAAGCACATCGACATGCTCAAACCTAATGAATGCAGACTGGATATCACACAAATAACAAAATGTGTCTTTCTTGGATCCTTGTGCTTGAAACCCGTCCCACAACTTTTCGATTCACCTTTATTACTGGAAGAATTAGACATGAAAGTAGGAAATGTAAGAACGGATGTGATCATAAACAATGAAAATAACAGTTTTAAAACGTTAAATGGTGAAAACCACATTACCCCAAAGAACTCTTCCAAAAGGGGTTCTCGAAAAAGATGCCTTAATCCAGCCAAAATTAGGAAAAAATCGCTCAGGGAACGTAATGATTCAAAGACAATTAATGGTGTAATCAAAGATGAAACTGTAGTAGTTACACCAACACAATGTGCTAATGACAGGGAAACTGCACTAGTCCAGAGAATAGAAACCAACGATGATATACCTCCACCAAAACCATTGTGTGAAAAAGTTGAAAAAGAAAATAACAAAGTTGAACTAGCAATGCTACATTCTGTGATAGAAAACGATATTGAAGTGCCTCCAACTGAGACTTCATTCCAAGAAAATAATAGTATTAAGAGCAGTAATACCGAGTTAGAAATAAAAGAAATTACTATTACAGAACCAGTTGCCAATGAACACATATATGAATTTGAGGAGGATGTTGCATTTGAAGAAAGCATCTTAAATCTAAAACTGGATAGGAATGGAAAAGATCCCAATTCAAGAAATAAACCAACATCGGAAGATATCCCTCCTGATATCAAAACGATTACTTCAGTTGCTCTTCACTATGAGGACGTTGAAAGGTTGAAACGAGAACCAACACCAGAATTAATATTATCAGATTCTGATGAAGACGCTATAGATCAACTAATGTTTAATATTATGGATATAAAAGTAGGTCCAAATATGTTTGATAAAGATTTATTCGATATCCCGTCTCCAGAGGCTGAAGAATTTGAAGAGTACTCTAGCTATTGTAATAATACAAACGAAGATCACCCCAATAAAAACGATGACGACGATGGTTTTAAAGAAGATAAAAAAATGATTAAAAGAACTCCCCAATGTAAAATCTGCTCACAAGTTTTCGGCAGCTACATTCAGCTAAAGAAGCATAAAGCAGCTCACAACGGGGATAAACCTTATCTTTGCCTAAAGTGCAATGAAAACCACACAACTCTGGACCAGTTAGTTGCACATTTAAGAACACACCAAGGTAAATCCATTTATTTGAATTATATAGTGATTGATTTTTTCATTCAGGTAAACATCCATATGTCTGCAAAAAGTGCAGTCAAGGCTTCAAATCAATGAAAGCTCTGGAAAATCACCAACCGGTCCATGTTCTACAGAAAACTGTGCCTCAGAAAAAGGCTTTTAAGTGTGAAGTTTGTGGAAAAGAGTTTCGTAAGTTATGTGATTTAGAAAGACATACAAGGGTACATACTGGCGAAAAACCGTCAGTATGCAATATATGTAACAGGCGATTCCAACAAGCGCACAATTTAAATAAACATTTGCTCATCCATACAAAGGAAAAACCATTTGAATGCGATGTTTGTAACAAAAAATTTGGGCGAAATGACGTGTTAACTAGACATATGCTAACGCATTCTGTTAAAAAGCCAAATGATTGTAATGTTTGTATGAAAAGTTTTATACGTGTTTCACAATTATTGGCTCATAAAGAGAAATACCATTCTAATGAAGCTTCCTAACATCTCATATTTGTTCCCCTGTAGAATAATCATGATCTCCACAATTTATATTCTATATTTATATCAACTATTCACACTTTTGTAAATATTTTTATATTTGTTATTTAAATGATAAAACGATTTTTTTCAAAAATTTTGCGATTAAAGAGTGATTTTTTTATTCGTATTAATATCCATGATTTGAAATAACTTTCAAATAATCCACTCAATGACATTTGAACTATGAATCGCAAATTGTTATTAAATCCCTATTGTTAATATATATTTTGTTGTATTTGTAAAACTGGTATTAAGCCTCGTGTGCTATCCCTAGGTTGAAATATTTTTTTGTTTTTTTTTCTTTAGTAAAACGTAAACGTATTTATGTACAAATTACGAAAGAAATCAACAATTACGTTTTACTAAATGCGAAATGTTTCAGTTAATATTAGAATCGAAGTTTATTATTTAACTTTACTAACATGGTTATAAACCTACACATAAAAGCAGCATTCTAGCTCTCCCTAAAAAAATTTTACAATTCGAATATAAAAGACCCATTATAAAAAATATATCGCGATCTTGGCCAGTTCACTTGTTACGGTTGTTTAACACTACAAAGTTTGACTAACGAATGTTTTTTTTTTAAATTGTCACAGTAATTAACCTACTGTTCCCAAGAACTATAAATGTATTTACTGCCTGCAGCAAGATATATTTGTGCAATACTTAAAACTACACTTGTTTATTATGCAGAGCAATTTTTTGAAACTTCAAATTATATATTATTGTGTTTTAAGGTGGGCCTTTTCTTCGCGAATTTTTATTACATTTAGGAGCATATAAAACGAGACGAACTATGTTATTGAATCAGTCGTGTTTTTTTTATATATACAAAGATTTACACGATGATAATAAATTTAATAACGTAAAATGTGTCATCGAAGTAAATCATCCTCCTGTGGGTCAGCCTTTAATTATATTAATGATTTTTATTTTAAACTTTAAAGCAAGTGTGATAGTATTGTATGAAACAAATACAAGTGCCTTCATGTATCTTAATAAAGAGAGAGTGCCTTTAAAGTATAAATTTTTTATAAATTATGTACATTTTACTAATAAGAAACTAGTAATAAGTAGAAGGTCAATATATTTTTTGTATTTAGTATATTGCCTTGTGTAATACCTATTATTATTACAACTACTACTATGTCATGTACCTTGTAGTTTCTTAATTACTTAATTTTATGTTTTGATGTATTATGAAAATAATTGTTAGTACATAAATTACTGAACCTTATCATACCTTTATATGAATATTTATAATAAATAGAAAAACAACAGTATTTTTTACTACAATTAACGTTGAAAAGTAAGCGGTGTCAGTTACAAACATCCTACACATAATTTTACAAATAACTTTTTTATGTACTATTCTAACATTTACCTGTGTAAAATCATTATAATTAATTTGACTGCATTGAAATCAGCTTGCTATGCATGATTAATATAAACCACTATGAATCTATTGAAAATCCAACTTTTCAGAATAACTGAACATTCTGACTTTGGAATATTTGGGATTTTTAAATAAAAATTTAAGAAACCTCCTAGAGGTGGTTTAACCACAAGTACCCAAGAAGGTGGATTGGATAGTCCAATGCTGTGACCGATTGGCTCTTCTGATCTGAATCCGTGCGATTTTTTTCCAGTGGGGGCCCTATAAAGTAGTTGCTATACCAAACCCTTGTCAATACGGCTAAACAATTGACAAATCGAAGTGAAGTGGTTGCTACACCAATTAGGGCACATCGAAAAATGATAAATCGGATATAATATTATTACTACTACTACTGTGAAACAAATTTTTTTTTTTTTCGTTTTGAATATATTAAAATTATTTTTATGGTTTATTTTACGTTTATTTAATTTTTGCTTCCCAAGCGTAAGTTAAAAAATGTTTTAAAATAGTCTATTTTCAACGTGTCATGACCCCATGAGTACAAAAAAATAGGTACCTTGTTTCCGTCTGGTGTCTATGTCACGTTTTATTACACAGACAATCTTCGAAACTACTGGACCAATTGTTATCAAATTTTATGTTTGTTAAGAAAATCGTATAGACCAAATCATTATCATTCGTACTAACAATGGAATGGCCTCATCTTCAAAATTTACAGTAGTAAATGTTATTTAAATTTTATAAAAATAGATACTCCTGCATTTGCAATTTATGAATCCGTGTTGACTTTTTACCCTAGACATCCAAATTTTTGGAAACAATCAAAATTGTATAACAAAATTTTACAAGTTAACTTTGAAGTTGCAAAACCGAATACTGTAAAGGTTATCGGAAACATATATGGTAAATCGTTAATCAAAATTTGCTCATTTATGCCCTCCCCCAACAAATGATGACGTCATCTTGCAATTTATGAGTGTTTACGTTAGACATTTTTTGTTTTTTTGAAAAATCAAGTGTTCGTAATTAATGAATTAGCCCTCTCCTCTGGGTTGAGAAGACAAAATCAAATTTCATTTTCTTTTAAGACAAATACCTCCGCTCATGCTTGCTTTTTAAAATATACGTCGTGTATGCAGTGTTTTCTCAATGTCAACCACATGTCATAAAATAATATTTTCTTGACCAGAACCCGACTTACACGTTTTAAATTTCTAATTTTCAGGATTATCTAGTTACCAATTGTGTCCCAGTTTTTTTGTCCACCGATGGTACCTACTTTAGTTTACAGCTAATAGTTTTCTGTTTGTGCTTGTAATACTAAAGGTTTGTTGGATCCTTTCTAAACTCTTTTGTTTCATTTTAATTTTGTTAAAAGTTTTCATTACTCGATTTTACATTTTAATTTTTATAACAAAAAACTATAATTACAAACATGGAATTACAATCGTACTTTGACATACTGTGAATTCAGAAAAAAAAACAACGATAATTTGAAAGAAGAAAAACCTGATGTAATTTTAAAAAGAACAGAAATTGACATAATAGGTAATAATACTAACACGTTTTTGATGTTAGTTTCCGAGTTTAACATTAAGCTGTTGCCACGACGAGTACCTACTATGAATGTCATCCTTTAACCTCTGAATGTGTAATTATTACCCACTAGTGTGTAAAACTTACATACACTTGTTTAATCACAGATACATTAAAAGCAGTGAAATGACGTCTTCTAGTTTTTATAAATTTTATTAACAATAAAATTACACATGGTATACAAACTATTAAGTAAAATTTAGGAAGTAATTATTATGAAAAGATACTTTATAATAAATAGTTTATTTTAAATCACATTAAGATAAAAGAACAAAGTAAAGAAAAACTATTTATAACACATCCACAATTTAACAAGAATGTACTATACATTCGAATTTAAGATGTGTAAAGTCCGCACAATTTATCCGAAAAGGTGACTATTTACAAAAGAAATAACGTAATCACTTCAGTCAATTTTAACAGTAGAATATATTTTCCTAACAAACACACTGGTGCCTACATACCCCACAGTACCACACATAATCCCTAGAGCTCCGCTAAAAAGCGCCATATATCCAAAATAAAATGCAGTTTGAAATAGCCCATACATCCTAAAATCACAAAATAAATCTCATTTAATCAAAACAGGTGCACTTACTTTGTTTTGAAAAAGAAGTAATAAATTGCATATAGGTAAACATATGCTGACGTAGAGGCTGCAGCTAGGAAGGACGTCCATTGCCAGCGATAATCTTCAGCATTGAGTAAGAAATATGTACAGACTATTGTTACGCAAACTGTTACTATCATCAATATAATAAACACTAGTAACATAAATCCGTAAACGTAGTAGATCTTGTATGCCCAAAATGAGGTGAAAATAAAATACCTTAAACGAAAATTATCACAAAAATTGAACAAATGACACACTTATCTTACATTTCGATGAATATGCTGGCGAATGGTAAAATTCCCCCCATCAGTATTATAACTCCTGGTTCCATAAACCATTTCTTTTCGGGTATTGGTCGAGGAACTGCATTAATACGACAGGGATAATCGGGTTGTCCTGCTAAATTACGCCCTAATACAGTCCCTACCAACGTTAACGGCAAAATGATGAACAAACATATACAAGTAACTGCAACCTAATTTCACATTAATCGCAAGACTACTTTTGTGGTTGTCTCTGTTTACCATAGTTCCAAAAGGTATAGCCCTTGAAGCGTGATAATAAATAGCAATAAAGTTGATGAAAAATGCTGTACCGCACACAAAAGCCGGCAGCATAAATGCCGAAATTGTCATTTGCCTGATCCATATTTTACCTCCCATTCTTGCATAAAGAGACCCCCCAAAATATCCATTTATCGGTGATGTTATGGCGTACACAAATATGGCAGTAGATAACAGAGATCCACGTCTACATGAAATGTAGTTACACACAAGCTTTTATGGGTAAAAATACTCACTCTGTATATAGTTCTCCGAGAATTGCAAAAACTATTACACTGAAAACTACAGTTGTCAACTGGTATCCTGCACCAATGAGAGACGAAAAAATGAGTGAGTGAGAAGCGGGACGGAATACATCACCATGAACCTGTTTCCAACCGTACTCATCACCCAAATCTCTTTCCTGTAATCAAAATTAACCATTTTAGCGTATCACGTAACCCATGGTCTCGACACAGGAGAATAATGCATATTTAATCCGTAAAACAAACATTTGTTTAAATACAAGGAACAGCTTAGTTATTTCAAAAATTAACGTTAAAATTTTCATTTTTAATTTACCGGAAATATGTTTAATCCCACCTGACGCAAATTCAAAGCTACTCAAATCTGAGCTAATTACAGTATTTAACCGCATACAAGATCACTTCAGTGATGCAAAAAATTGATCATTCACAGATTCCAAACAATTTTAATCAGTACTCATTACAATTTTGTTGTTCACAATCGGGTTAAAAAATCCCAGGATCCACTAATTTAGTTGCACAACTTCTGCAACAAGCAGAAAAAGAAGAAAAAATCCCGGGGATCACTGTGATGAATGCAAAAGACCCAACTGAAGTTGCAGTAAATCAATTCAAATTGTATTTTTCGGTTCTAACTTTTGAAATATTTAAACAAAATTGCTAGTTTTACAAAACAATCGTTTATACAGGAATTATTAGCAATGAGCTCCATTACAAGTGTAGCTAATCTAATATCCTGAAAAACAAGGGAAAAATAAATTTCATCGCACCATGTAATTATCCTATGTGCCCAAAGCAAAAAACCACACTGTACAAGTACAAGTCTGTGGGAGATAAAAAAATCCGCTAAAATCATCAAAAATAAACTAAGAAAAACATATCTCCCAAAAATTTTCCTATTAATCAATTTTTCAAAATTAAGCAAAAACAAACATGTACACAAATCCCTTCAAATTCAATGAACAGTGATAATTCTCTAATTTTGATGTTTTCTGTAAATCAGCACTTCATTTCTAGCCGGTGGAAGAAAAAAAATCACCCAAAAACCAAGGAAATTCAAAGAATTGTAAAAATAAAGAAAACCACAAGAAAAACTCATCTCCCACAAAACTATATTTTGAAATAAACGTTTATAATATTTTTCCAACGCACAGCTGAAAAACGAACAAAACCACCTAAAAAAATTGGTCGCAGTTTATTTCGAAAGAATTTCCTTCGCTTCCAAAGTACAAGTCCAACAAATCCTTTTTTTTTTTGAAAATTATAAAATTAGATTTTGCTATGTTTATTTTGTGATAACCTCTATAAAGCAAAAACCAACGGCATAAATAACACTCTTGCAGCCCGTGCGCCGTGTGGGCGCAAATTGCACAAGTACGGAGAATGTAAAATATATTTAAATTAGATAATCATCGGGAAAAAATAGCCTCTCAGCAATAACAACAAACTTTAATTGCAAGTGTTTGTTTATACATTGGAAGAATGTCAGGTCAAATTTATTTGATTTGAATGAGTCACAGTCGAACAGAATATTCTGAATATTATTATTATTATAATTCTTATTAAATAAAAACGTGCGTATTCTCATCTTTTCGATTTCAATTTTTTTGGGGGATAAGCAAATATATTTTGATTCAAAATTTACCATAACTTTGAAACACACAAGATTTCAACACATTCGGTTTTGCAGATCCAAAATTAAATTACAAAAGGTTGTTATATAATTTTGATTTTTTCCAAAAATCTGGACGTTTCAGGTAAAAACTCAACACGAATTTATAAACTACACGTGTAGGACTATTTATGTTATTTTATACAACTTAAAACCCATTTACTATGTACAATTTTGAGATAACCTCATCACCGACGGACAGAAACGGGACACCCATTTTTTCGTATTCTAGAGCCATGACCCATCGAAACGAAGAGTCCCCCGACGGACTCGATTTCAATACCTCCTTAGCTTACGCTCGGGAAGTACAAATCATGAAAATCACCTCAGAATAATAATAAACAAAAAAATCAACAAAATATTATTGAAAATACGCGAAAACTACTGAAAAAACATTAAATTTCACCTCATGTCCAAGGACTGACATTATATCAATACATTAATAAAATAATATAAATGGAAACAAAGGTTTGTAGATCGTGCCGGTTAAGAAAAAATGTAACTGAATTCACCCCAGATAAGAATTTAACAAAACCTATTTGTAAATGTAAATACGTAGATCTTCAAAAAAAAAAACGATTTCGATTATCGCGAGTTTTATCTTAACAACAAAGGAACTAAAATTACTGAAACAATTTCCTATAATATCCAAATCGCATCGCCCAATGTAGGAAAAATCTTTTCATGGATTTCTTTCTCAATTTTCATTTCCAAAAGAAGAATTAAATCATTGTACAAATTGCAATTTTCTTTTTTTAAATAAAAACCACTCGTCGCAACAGTATTCAATTAATTCCTAAACGAAGAATTACTGACAGAATGACTTGGTATTACAGAAACGTCCTTTATGGGAAGCATACTTTAAATCTACATATGCAATCACTGCTTTTTCTTCTTTCAGCCTCCAAGACGATGCGAACCGAATTATTCATCAAACCACCCCCGTAAGAACCCGTCCCTATTGAACTAGCTTCAAACTAAAGAAATCGCACTGAAATCGGTTCATCCGCTTGGGAGCTACGGTGCAACAGAGAGAGACATAGACATCAACTGATAATCTTGAAATGATTGAAGTGATTAGCATCAAAAATATCTAAAAAGCTAAGAATCATCCAGATCGAACCAGCTTTCAAAGAAAAAAAGCCGGATTGAAATCGGTTCATCCGTTTGGGAGCTATGGTGGTACACAGAGAGAGACAAAGGAGTCGAAATTATAACATCCTTCTTTTTCAGGTGGAGGTTAAAAAGTACCATCTAATAGAAAATTTTCTTATTTTTGTCTCTATTTAAAAGAAGCATTCCTTTAATTTTCAAAAAATAAATTAATTTATCTAAAAATATTTCGGCTGAGACCTATAATACTTGAAAATGAGAAGAGTACGCGCATGCGTAGATGCACATAGACGCAATTTTTAAAATTTACGTCTAATGCTTGTTCGTATTCTTGTTTAAATTCCCTCGTATTGTTGTTATAGAAACAATTGTATGTTCGTAAAGAAAGGCATCGTGAGTTTAAGAACTGTGCGGATCATATGAACAGCGCGGTACGATATCAGTCAAATAGTTAGCTGACTGTGTTGCATTGAGTCGAGTTATTATCACTTGACGTCTACACATACATAGGTAAACACCTATGTATACACGTCGAGTATACCCATGGCACATCTCGAAAATCTCCAACGACCACTTGTCATGTACACATAAGTGCGACCTTGATTGGCGTTCGAACACAGTTGTGTACGCCTACCAATTACAACGGCCTCGCCGCTCTTGAAATTGTTCAGCATTATTTTATTTTTGTTGATGATTCTATGAGCACATACAAAATATTCCCATAAAAACCTTTGCATCTTGAAGATGGGTCGACTGATGCAATAAAAAAATACAATTATTTTCAGCTAAGGTTCACGCAATCTGTTTCAACTTGAATAAGATAAGAAATCAAAATTTCTCACTATCTACAAAGTTAAAAATCGGATTATGAGTTACACAATATATTGACTCTGATATTAGTGATACTACAGTACCTTCAGTATGTATTAGAGAAAAAAAAGATATATGTACTGGTGCTGGACAGTTGAGGATGTGTGCTTATTGCAACTTGTAAAGAAGGCAACCCCACCACCTCAACTTGAGATGTAAATAATTTTTACAATGAACAGATGCAACTGCTTCAAATAAAATCGCATGTAGTAAAAGATAATAATAAAGTTACAAGAAATTTTTATGTTAGCTATTCCCCATTATGTTGACATTTGTTTCTGAGTGAAACTGTATTTTTCATGAGCTACAACACTGACACACAATCCTAGTATACAGTGCTCAGGATTCAGCACAAAACTTTAATAGTTTACTATAAATAAGGTGTGATCAATAAAAATTGCTCTGTATTACGTGCTGCACAATCAAGACGTCTTTCTTATCATCTCTTATGCGCAACAGGGGATGAGAAAGACAGCTAATCTGGCAGTGTCCATAATTAGAGGGCGATTTTTGTTGACATCACGTTATTTCAATTAAAAGGGATTATTGGGGAAGAACAACAACAGAATTTATATCCAAATGCAACAACAGCATAAACAGCACCAAAACAAAAACTGGAACTGCAGGGTAGTTTTACAGTAAAGTTTGTATGCCAACAGATATTATTTGAGTACCTTACTTAATTATTCAATTATCTTACAACTTACCATGTCATCTATATCTTCATCTTTACTGTATCTGGCATAATCCTTACGTAAAGTACGCATTAGAATCATAGAAACTAAACCAACTAAAAATATCACCATCATAAAGCTGTTAAATATACTAAACCAATGTATCTACAAATAATAAAATGTTTCATTAAGTTTTAAGTGTTACTACTCTCTACTCACTCTGTGTTGGAAGAAGTTATGGTCTAAATATTTATCAAAACGATCTTCAAACTTTGTGTCAGTTGGTTTCCATATCACTTCATAAGTGAAGCTTAATTTTGCACTTGGAGTTAAAAGAACTTTATCTTCAGATGTGAGATTAACATCAATAATTTGCTTTCCATTATAGCCAATTTCAAATTTCTTGTGTGTCCATATGTAGTAATTGTTGTCTTTCATTTCACCTACTACGCCCCAAATTGGTAAATCATCAATATACATTTGATACCAGTAATGATTTTTTACAGCATAGACAAAGGCTTTGTATTTTTCTTCATTTAGCTCCACGGCACAATATTCTCCCTTTTGTACTCTACCTAAAATTATCAATTAATAAAGATTTTGTACATTACGACAGACAATGCTTCACTTTTAAAATCAATTTCAATCCCACTAAATTCCAATTCAACACCTTGTAACGCCTCGCTGAGTGTTTCATGGTAATGATTTATTGTGTCTTTACTGCCAACACAAAATGGTAATGAAAAATAAGCATAAGTTTCCTGACGATTGTGATATGGGCCAACTGTATTCATCCAAAGTATTACCTCTTCATTTTCATCGTACTAAAAAAAACATTACCATGTAAAAAACGACGATGCTGTGACAAATGTTTCGATTTACATGTTTTACATTCCACGAAACTATAGTATTGTTTACGTTTTACTTACTATGTGATTGTGTTCGTCTGAATACGCCCCGATTACGAGAGACAGAAATATAATTTTGCATATAACATACATTCTTTACAGCAAAAAATGATTGTTTATAAAAATTTCAACTTTTTCACATTAAAATAATGAAATTATTTCCATATATTACCGGAATCATCTAAAAATACCCCATAACTAGCACTACAAACGTAGACATGGAATTGACAGATAAAAATGACAGAAATCTGACAGCAGGGCGCTAGATTATTGGCGCTTACAAGTAGTTTAATGTAATCAGTTTATCTGTTGAAATTACATTTATCTTAGTTTACAAATAACTTTGTAGGCAGTACCATATTTCCGCACTATTTAATTATTGACAAGAGACTACCATTCCAATGTTAATTAGATGTTATTTGGTTGTTACAGAATATTTTTAATTTACCCGCCTACACTGAGATTTATGATTGGCCAGTCATTTTAGACAGAATTGTCAACTTTGATGTTTGACATGTTATATTCCATAAGTGACATAATAAATAACCACGAAACACGTCTACAAGTTCAAACCAAAGCAAAATGAGAATTTCCGTATCATTCATAGCATCTACTTTATTCTTTATTTTTATTCTGCATTCAATGTGGAATTTGTTTAGTATATTCAGAGTTCCAACATGCATAGTGGGAGATAAATGTTATATTTCTTATTTAAATTCAAATCCAAATCTCGATTTGCTGGTTTATGCTTCAGACAACTCAAAATCCGGAAATATTGAATTGATTCTTAATATAGACAAATTCAATTATCACGATAAATGGGAAAAGTAATTTTTAGGCACGTTTCTAACAGTTATTAAATTTATTTTTTCAGGGAAATATCTCTTCAGTTACCAAAGGTTGTCAGAAATAATGGTACTATGTCTATCCATACAATTATCATTCCAAGTAGTTCTAAAAAAAAACATTACACTTTAAATGAATTAGCGACTCAGCCGGATGCTACATATTTGAAGTATCCATTAACAAAATATGCCATTCCGGCAAGTGCTGCTTTTAATTTATTAAAAGAAGAATCAAAGAAACAAACTGTGAAGCCAGTAACACATTTGAGAACCAAATTTCCAATTATCATGTGTACTGACAAATTTGAAATTTCCTCGTCAAATATTCCTATGGAAATAATAAGACATTTAAGAATTAATCATAAACGACAATTTTTACCAGTTGTTCACCGTGATATCATGCAAATGAGACTGAGAGATTTGTTGGAAATAACTGGGGAAACAATGGATGCGAAAATATTATTTACCTACACCCCTGTATCTGTTGGAAAAATGAGATTTGTTGCTCAAATTGATTCTACGCTACATCAGTTCATTGCATTAGGGTTTACTGAAAAAGATTTAGATGAAGTGAAAGGAGTGTTTGCAGATACAAATGTTTATTTGCTTTGTGCAACAGTGCTTATTGGCAGCATTCATGTACGTGGTCTTCACATGGTTTTCCTCTAATATTTTTTTTTTATATTGCAGTTACTCCTTGATTTCCTTTCATTTAAAAATGATGTGAAGTTTTGGAAAGCCCAGACTTCCATGGCAGGGTTATCTACTAGTAGTGTATTATGGAGGGCCTTTTCACAAACGGTTATTTTCCTATATTTATTAGATGAAGGCACGTCATTGTTAGTCTTAGTTCCAAGTGGAGTTGCTACTATTATAGAAGTAAGTATTGTAGAGTACAAGCAAATTATGGAATATAATATCTCATTTTTCCAGTTTTGGAAAATCAGTAAAGTGCTGAATAAAAGTATTTCATGGAGTGGAGGATTAAGATTTAGTAAAGGTAAAAATGAAAGCGCTGAGGAGTTACAGACTAGAAAATATGATGAAGAGTGCATGAAGTATTTGTGTTATCTCTTATATCCTCTTTGTGGTTGTGCAGCTATTTATTCTCTCCTGTATCAATCACATAAAAGGTATGGTTAAAATGGTGTTAACACTACCATAAAGTGTCAACGGATTAAAATATTTAATTTTTAGTTGGTATTCATGGACCATCAATAGCTTGGTGAATGGTGTATACGCATTTGGTTTTCTTTTCATGCTACCTCAATTATTCATCAATTATAGACTGAAGTCAGTAGCAGCTCTACCATGGAGAGCATTTACATACAGGGCATTTAATACCTTCATTGATGACATTTTTGCATTTATTATTACTATGCCCACAGCTCATAGAGTTGCGTGCTTCAGAGATGACGTAGTTTTTCTCATATACCTCTATCAAAGATGGTAAGTTTACTTCATAATTTGATATCTGTTCTTATTCATGAATTTTGCCTAGGCTGTACCCTGTTGATAAAACAAGAACTGATGAAATCATAGATGACAGCCCTATTGAAAATGATGTTGACTCAAAGAAAACGCAGTAAATGTAAACGTGGATTATTTTTCATTTCCTACTTCAACATCATTCACAGGGTATTTTGCTCTATGTATGGATTGACAAATCTGTATCTTGACTGTGATGAAATACCTATTCTAATTGTTGCAATCAGTTGTAATGTGAATTTGAATTGTACCTACTATTTTTAAAATTTAACTGTGTTATCGTGATAATAATTTTCAAGAATAAAGTTGTGGAGCACTATAATAAGTTTTGTAGTGAACAATAATGCGGCATCTTGTGAAAAGCTCCATTTTACTTTTCTTGAGATCTTTATTTTTACATTTTCATTTTCAGTACCTTTTTGATTACATATAATATATTTTATATAGTTGTTTGTTCTCTTGTGATCTTGTTTTTTTTTTTACAGTTGCATTATATTTCTTTGTGCAAACTTCATTTTTCCTTATTTTTCAGTAGTGCAAGATTTTCTGATAGCCTCCACATATTTTTTATAGATTCTTTCCTAATATACAGGTATTCGAGATAGTATTCCGCGACCTTACATCCTGAGAATGGATAGAAATATTGAAATTCTATAAACGCCATTGTTTTTAGCTTGAAATCGGAAGCTTAATTTAGTTCATTGCATTTATGACACACATATGGCGTCGGCGTGGCAATGCAAAGCAATATTTTTTTAAATTATAGTTACAATGACATAAAACACTCGGGTATTTACGTCATTTTTAGTAAATAAAAAATCGTGGTTACAGTACGCGTGTTGACATGGACTGGTCTTGACAAACCATCAACTCTAAAACCCGTAACCCAAATCGCGAGCCCTAGTGCGGCCACGTGACTAAATTGCAGAGTGGGGCCACAGAGAACCCTACAAGTTAGAACCATTAGAAGGGCTATTACATCGTTTAGTTCGGTATGCAGATCAAAGAATACATGGTGTGACATCTTCAAGTGTAGATATTTTTTTCGCTAATTCATGCATACCTTGTTAAGAACTTGAAGTGGGATTTCAGTTAATACAAAAATCTGCAATATGAGAGTAAAGTAACTGGTTATCAAAAAGAAATTTTGTTGTTTTATGAAGACATATGAAGCTTTGACTAGAGGCAAATGTATGTTGTAAGTTCATTTTAAGGCAATAAAAAAGGATTATGAGCAGAGCCCGGTCAGGTGCGAATGAAGAGCCCAACCGCCAGTGCAATGGTGCACTTGAACCTCCCGTCGGAGCGATTAAACTTCAGGTGGATAACTATACGACATAAAAAAGGGTTAATGTTTCTTCAAATTCGCGTGTAGCTAGCAGTTTTTATACTACACGTTAAATATAAAAGACAACGAATGTCGCGTCCAGGATCTGATAATAATCATTAAGATGATTATTTAGATGAACATCTTAATGCCATGATGTTCCTCTAAAATTAATAACTTTAAAAAAGAATAGACTAGTTAACTAAAAACTAGTGTTGTTAAATATCCAGCTATTTTCAAAAATAGCCTTAAGGGGGAACGCTAGAAGAGAGACAAGTTTGAATTGGGCGCCATTTGTTGCCTTAAACGCAACCAGCAATTCTTCTTTAAATCTACCTGACGCGCTGAGATAGACGACTACCGCTGAGTCATAAAAACATCGTAAGCCGATAATGAAGAATAATGATAATTTATGACAGGCGGCCCACAGCATACCTTCAGCACAGAATAATCATTTCCCGTATTCTTTTGACATATTAATTTTAATATTCGAGATAATTATTATATTATTCAAACAAAATTTAGACACTGTTGAGCAAACAAGACTTATCAAGCCCGTCTATTACTTTATTCGCCTATTAATGTATTATTAATACCGTTTTCTTGTTATTTAGATAAGGGAACAAATTAAATGCACAGTTGTATTTTTAAACGCTCTGTATTTTTGCTCGGTAAAAATGATAAATGCTAAGTTATATAATAAATGCTCAGTTAAAAAATAAATTATCAGTAAAAATAATACATACATGCTTGGTGAAATAATAGCTGCTTAGTTAAATTAATAAATGTTCGGTTAAATAAGAAATGCTTAGTAAGAACCCTACGTACTAAGAATAAAAATTGGCCGAAGGTCATTTCGACAGAACATCCCTCGCCCGTCAAGTGCAGCACAACAAATAATACTCCCGCAGAAGGCGCAAATTGAAAAATGAAATATACTTAAAATAGACAACAAATCGGAAAAATCGAAAAATCAAAAACTTTAAAAATCTAAAAATCAAAACACCCAAAAATCGAAACATTAAAAAATAAAAAAAAAAAATCCTGAAAAATTGAGTACTGAAAACTTGAGAAATCCAGGCATCAAAAAATAGTAAAATCGAAAAATGTAAAATTTAAAAAATCCAAAAATTGAGAAATAAAAGAAAAGAAAAATCAAAAATTTAAAAATTCGAAAAACTGAAAAATTAAAATATCGAAAAATTGAAGAACTGGGAAATCGAAACACCAAAAAAATCAAAAAAACAAAATCTAAAATTCAAAAATCAAAAAATTGAACACTCGAAAAGCCAAAAAGTCGAAAAATCGAAACATCGGAATGTTCAAAAACTGAAACATCGAGAAATCAAAACATCAACAGTAGAGGAGTCAAAAAATCAAAAAATTAAGAAATCAAATTAGACGAAAATTGAAAAATCGAAAAGTTAATAATTGAAAAATTTAAACATTTTAAATGAAAAAAAATCGGTAAACCGAAAAATTGAGAAATCGAAAAATTTAAAAACGCCAATAATTGAAAACTGAAAAATAAAAAAATTTAAAAATCGTAATACTGAAACATCGGGAAATTGAGAAATGAAGAAATTCGAGAAATCGAAAATATGAAGAATCGATAAATTGAAAAATCCCAACAGTAATATGTCGAAAAATTGAGAAATCGAAATCGAGCAAAACTGAAGTATCGTAAAATTAATAAATTGAAAAATTGAAAATTTTTGAAAAAAAAATCCTATCAAATACTAAAAACTCAAAAAATTAAGAAATTGAACAATAAAAAAATCAAAACATTGAAATCCCAGTAAGTTGATAAATTGGAAAATTTAAAAAAACAAAAATTTTAAAAATCCAAGAATTGAACAACAAAAAAAATCTAAGCCTGAAAACTCAGAAAATCGAATGATCGAGAACTCAAAATATCAAAGAAAACAAAAAATCTAAAATTTAAAAATTCGACAAATTGAAAAATCATGGAACTGAAAAATCGAAAAGTCGAGATAGTGAGAAATCTAAAAACCTAAAACTTTAAAAAGTGAAAAATTAAAATATCAAAAAATTTAAAAACCGAGAAAACACAATATAAAAATTTGAAAAATTGAAGAAACGAAATATTGCAAAATTCCAAAGCTGAAATATTGAAAAACCTAAAAATGGAAGGAAAATTAAAGAATCGAAACAGTGAAAAAATCCCAAACTGAAACATTGAAAAATTGAGAAATGGAGAAATGGGAAAATCAAAAAAATTGGTCTAAAGAGTTTAGACAGTACAGTTTGGGACACGGAATTTCAAACGACCTGTCAATCATAATGACAATAAGGTATAAGACTACAATGTTTTGAAATGTCAGAAAGTTGGTTGTCGTTTGAAATTCCGTGTCCCTCACCGTACTTGCCCCGCTATCGGAAACGTGATGTTTTTTTTTTTCACATTAGATTTCAAAGCATTCGGTTTTGTAGTTCCTGATTAAATCAATAAAATAAATTTACGCATTCATTAAATTTTTTGAGTAACCCTGTATATCCGAATCCAAAAAATATTATAGATAGGATTTATTCAGCAAAATTTTGAGGTGACGTCATCAATTTTTTAGAGGGGATAAGTAAATATATTGTGATTAAAACGGTCCTGGTTTAATAACAAAAAAATATTGTTCGTCTATGAAACAAGCTCGTCTTAGACAAAGTATTCGTAAAAAAAAAATATGTCGTAAAAAATGTACGTATGCTGGTCCCGATTGCGATTATGGTTTAAATATTTTGTAGATAATCCTGACATGGATGTAGAAACATTTGTGACAGCCAAAGAGGTTTTTTGAGAAAATTATCTTTAAATTTAGACCAAATTGAAATAGACACTAGGCAACAGGCACATTTGGGCAAAAGAAAGAGAAATTAGGGTTACGGCTTCAAATTTTGGACGTATTTACAAACTTAGATCAACTACAGCAACAGCTAAAACTGTGGAGTCTCTGTTGTACAGTACATTTAGAGATAATAATCATACATACTATGGACAACAAAGTGAGGAAAAAGCTGTCAAGTGTTTTAAAACAAATAAAAATACAAAAACTGAACGGTGTGGCTTGTTTATTTCAAAACAATTTCCTTACTTGGCTGCTAGTCCAGACAGGGTTCTAGAGGATAGGAGTGCATTAGTCGAAATTAAATGCCCTTCAAAATCGCAAGATTTGTCTCCCGAAGAAGCGGTTAGAAAAAAAATAATCAAATTTTGTACATTGACAGACAGAGAATTGAAACAAAAAAAAAATCATGATATAGTACTACTTTCAAGTCCAGGGACAAATACTTGTTACGGGTATTTCACAAGTTTATTTTGTTGTGTGGACACCCAAAGGAATTAATATAGAAAAAAACGAAGAAATACGTAAAAAGATGGCAAATAAACTTGGCAGATTTTACTTTGGCGCATTATTGCCCGAAATAATTGATTTAAGAAGAGGAACCTGCCTTTGCGAGAGATTTTTTTAAAATAAATAATAAAACTATTTTTTTATGTACTTTAATAATTTATTAGGAGTACATTTTTCATCACTAAGACTTGCATATTTTTATTATAAATATATTTTGAAAATGATCTCTCGATAAATGAAAACATATACGAGCACTTTTTTCGAGTAAACAATGAAGGGAGAAGTTACTGCGCGTAGGACTTTTTTAAAACACCTCCTTTCTGGGATAAGTAGTAGATACACTTTGCTACTTATACGTGTTAAACAAAAGCTGTATTTTATATATTTTTTATTATTATTATAAATATGTTTATTAGTTTTATTAATTAACAAAGCAAAATATATATTAATATGATATTAATATATATAATATATAATATGTGTATTGAATTCAGGATCCTGAGTGGAGTAAAAATATTATAATTCTCCAGTTTTTATGATAGTACCTCATTGCGTAAAAGTTAATTTCCTTAACAGTAGATTACTACGGCGGCTTGTTGTAAAACTGAGTTCCTTGGTATAAATTAGAAAAATCAGCCGAGAACGCTAGCAATCAGCTTATGGTAGAGCAGGCGATAAGGGTTTTACCTGGAAAGTCGCTTCCGTAAATTTAAGTGGCGCTCCTATCGGCAAAGTACTGAACTAACGGCTCAAAATCTGTCGAATTGATACCCATTTTTTTTTCAATAATTGTTAGTTTTTGTTAAAAACTCTGCTAACCAATAGATCGTTAATTTTCCTCTGATATTCCTGTAAAATTATTCGACGTATTTTGCATTAATTTGTGGTATATTTTGATTTTAATAAACACATTATTATTTAAACAAATTGTACCACTAACAAACATTTAATGACTCTGCGGCCTGTAAAAAGTGATGTTTTATCCATGTGCGAATTTTCAAGCGATTCTATGATGGTTATGACTCAAAAAACTTGAAAAGAAAACATACAATGATGCTTTTTTTACGATATTTCTCAGTCATATTTTTTTAATTGATTGAACTGGTCTCTGCGCTCTAGAATATGAAAAAAGCTGCAGTTTGATGCATGATACATCTATATTAATATAATTTTTTCAAATATAATATAACAAGTGGTCTGATTTTTTCCGACAAAATTTGTGACACAAATTAACGAGTAGCTGTTGCGACGAAAATCACACGAGTCGACGAAGGAGACGAGTGTGATTTTCCAAAAGCAACAGCTACGAGTTAATTTTCAGTTATAATATATTAAGTGCATCGCAATGTTATCGATAATTTTGAGCAACAATAACTCGAATGCTTGTTGCATTGAAAACGCACGAGTGCTTTAGCACGAGTGCATTTTTCTTAGGCAACAAGCATGAGAGATTATTGTTGTTCAAAATTATCGATTTCATTGTGATGCACGCAATATATTCAACAGATTATTGCAAGAACAAACATTTTAAAAATAATTTTATAATGATTTACGAAGTAGTTTGGTGTGCGATACTATGGCGACGCAAGTAAATAAGAACAGCCATTTTGCAAAATTTGTGTGGGTTTAAAAAACCATGTCCAATTTTCGTTTTGGTCGTAACACGCCAAAAGAAATTGATGATTCTATTACAAACATTACGCCGCTAAATACGAAGAACTCACGAAATTCAATCTGGAGGCAATTTGAGAAGTTTTGCGGTGAACGCAAATATGTTTTTGATGGAAACACTTCCACGGAAAAACTAGCATTCATCCTCAAAGATTGGGGGTACAATATGAAAAAAGTCGATGGTAATGACTACAAAGAAGCAGTAATAAAAACGATGTGGAATGTAACGGCAAAGCAGTTGCAAGAACTGTATTTCAATAAATTTGGTATAAAGTTTGATCCTTTTGTTGACCTGGAATTCAAGGGTAGTAGAAATGCACGCGACGCAAAACGCCGGAACCTACAAATACAACCGGAAAAACGCAAAACTAGTTCCTCAATTTTGACTCTAGAAGAATACAACAAGATTCTAAAGATTTATAACGAAGACACGCCAGATGGTTTACAGAAAATGTTTTTTTATGTGGCTGGATTAGAATTAGCTTGGAGGGGATGTGAAGGTGTTAACGTTACTATCAAACATTTTAAGGAAGAAAGTGATAATTGTGGTTTGCCTACGGGGCGAATAGAATACAATTGTATTTTTTCCAAAACAGCTCAAGGAGGTAGCCATAAATTAACAGACAGCAAATGGCTTGCAACAAACACCACAGATCCTAGAATTTGCCCTGTTAGGTAATTAAATACTGTTTCAAATACAAAATAATAATTATTTTATTATTTAAGGCTCTACAAAAAAATGCTGAGCAAGAGAGGTAAACATATAACCACCGATCGTTTATTTTTAACGCCAAATCCTGCATGGAGAGAACCTAGTTCTGTAGGATGGTTCAAAAATTCACCCGTTGGAAGGAATGAAATGGGGAAATGGACAAGAACCGCCGCAGAAGAAATAGGCATCGACATAAAGAAAAAGAAGATTAGTAATCATTCATTACGGTCAACTGCAGTGTCGCAACTTGCAAAAGCGGGAGTCGGTGAAGAACAGCTTATAAAGATTACCGGTCATGCCAATACTTTCTCCATCAAACCATACCTTCAGCTCGATGGAGATCATCATTATCAAATGATTGACAAATTACGCGCCAACTCAACGGCTATGGAAGAGTCTAATAACAAATCCACAAATTGCGCACCGTCTGCTTTGGTACAAATGTCTAAAAATATAGTTACTACTTCACCAAGCACACAAACCCCTGTAAATTACTACAACTGTACCATAATTAATTACAATTCTTAGTTTCATAATTAAATATTTGGTTAGTAACCTCTTGTTTTTTTTTGCAATTAACTGGTACTTGCTTATCTTATAGTTGGCACATCTGGCTAGTGATAATTATCGGTAGTGGTAATTGCACAGTGTGCAATTATCACGTAATTGTATGCTGATTGGTTGAATTTACAAATATTGACGCGTTTGATTGGTCAGTTGACATCATGTGACATGTGAGTGCAATAATCACACAAATTTTGCAGAAAAAATCAGATCACGAGTTATATTCGGCTTGACAATCCAAAGAGAAAATTTTTATTTAAACTTTTTACGGACAATAATTCACATAATTTATAGTTAGCGTATTCGTTGAGTAACCATACCTACTTAGTGTAAATAACTAGTAACAAAACAACAAAGCAAAACGTAAATAAATTTCTAAACATCAAATTTTGTGTGTGCTGCTGGTTGATTTTCTTAATTCTGGGAGCAAGATTTGGTAATAAGACTGTGTATGAAATTCGAAATGCAGTGAAAGAAAGTCAGTGCCGAAAGACCGCAAGAACGCAAGATTCAATTTGGAAGCAGTTTACAGAATTTTGTGAAATACGCAAGTTTCCTCTAAATAAAGCAGTCGAAATGAACGAGGTGGCCAGTATTTTGGAAGATTATGCCTTTAACGCCAACAGAAAAGTAATTTGTATTATCGTTTTTTTTTATTAAAGTTCATTTGACAAGTTTGACAAATTAATTTGACATAATTTATTTCGCTGAAAAACAGTGTTGTTGCCTGACAGAAGAATGTTTTTTCACTGAAAAAATTTTTCGGTGAATGCCATTGGACAAATTTCAAACAATTCTGCCATTGTATTTGTTAAGAATTTTCGAGTTGGATTGTCATACAAAAAACCAAAAAAATGTTATACCTCGTCTAGCGAGTCCCCTTAATAGCTGAATATTTTCCGGATATCTATTCACTAACAACACTACTAAAAATTAAAACTTCAAGTGCAGCTATTTTTTTTAAATATTTGTAAATGAATTAAAAAGCAGTTGACAGCATTTCCATATGAAACCAACGTGTGTCTGTTGGTAAGTTAATTTTAGTACCCCCATTTTTTATGATACGTTTTTCAATTTCAGTCCTTGAATATATTTTTAAAACTGACACAATTTCCTCAGCGGTACTAGATCTTGAGTAAGCAAATTTGCGGCATTTTAAGCATATTTGCAGCGTTGTCTGAAACCACTGCATATAGTTTTGTATGATAAATTTCTTGCAATATCTGGATACACTCTTGTACGATCTCAAATAGTTTTTCCCCAGTTTCTTGGTCTTCACCATGGCCGTCTTCACTTAAATCCCATGAATTCAGGAAAACGGAGTCATCACTAGGATTTTGCAACATGGCTGCTACATTTTTTGCATTATTTGATGAATTCTTCCATCCATTAGTTAGCAAACAACAGCATTCATTTCCTAGATTTAATTCTCTATTTTGTAACTCATCATTGTAACTCCCATCAAGCAGTTTTTCTGACGACGCTTTCTACAGTTGGAGGCCAATAGGTAAGTAAGATGGTTTTAAAAAAATACACAAGATCGTAAACCACTTGGATTCCACAACAGAAAATGATATGTTACAAACACGAAAAAATCTTGGCAAATGCTGATCTCCCATGGAGGTAATATTCTACCTCCATGACCTCCTATTATTGTTTATTTTTACATCTTTTGTAATTGTTGATGTTGCAGTCATCATATCCGTGAGAGAATGTTTATCACTGTTGTTGTTGTCATTCATTGTATCTTCTACTTCGTCATCCCCGTCATATGAACATCATCATCATAAATAAGATATTAAGAATGAGTATTTGTTCATTTTTATTTTTCATTTCCTCATCAGAATTATCTATCAAAGTAGTTAGTTTGGTTGTAGACGGCTGAGTTTTGAGTTTTATTGGTATTAAATTTACACGAATTTCTAAAATAGGTATATAGTAGTAGCAAGTAGATATGCAATAGTTTTCTGCTGTAAAATGAACATTGTGTTATTAAAAGTATAAAATAGGTAGGTATCATACATGAAAATTATGCAGAAAGTATAATACAGGACCGTTTTTGTGTATATTCCCAACACTGCATAGAAGGATATTTTTTCCTTAAGATTTGTCACTTTAATTTTTATAAAAAAAAAAATAAGAGGATCTAAATATATTAACATCAGAAATTTCCTTTTTACGATACTACTTAATTTTTTGGGTTTGGAAACTTTTATGCAGACTGTTGTTGGATTAAGATGACGGTGAAATATATTCATGTGCAATGCAGAGAACATTGCAGGACATTTTGGTACCGTTTTTCCTGCAATAAAATAATTGTGTGAACCTGCGCACAGTGAGGAAGTTGTATAATCGACCGTTGTCGTAAGCTCCCCCGGTTATCTCCTGCCTCTAAAAGCTTTGGGCTGTGTTCTGTGTTGCCGAGTTGCTGTTGCTCCTTGTGCTGCGTCAGCGTTGTGTGTCTGTGGTCGTGGCGTTTGCGTGTGGAACTGTGGAGTCAATCAAAAATGGCTGCTGTTGTTAGTGCACCAATTCCTCCCATTAATCAAACCAATCTGGAAAAAGTAGAAAGGTACGTGAGACTCTTCCACTCCGCAAACAGTATACATTCAGATTCATGTTGTGTCTTTTAAATGAATGAACTAGGTCTAAGTTTCTTTGTTAGGGAGGCGTTAAATGAAAAAGCTTCATCTCCTTTACATATAACCCATTCTAACTACTAAAGTTGATTACTAGAAACGCCTGCATGTTATATGTGCTGAATGTACTATTAGAGCTGAATTTAAGCGTACATACAACACGCAGCGCGCTGCAGCGGCGTGAAATTCGATGTTGGAACCCCCAGTCCAAGTACCAAAAAGTTTGGATGCGACGCCGGCCAAAAAATTGGGATCAATAAATGGGTTGAACCCTTGCTGAACCTCCCAGATGCCAAAAAGTATTGATGCGATGCCGGTTAAACAAATTTGACTAAAATAGGTGAACTTAAACATTGGCGTTTTACAAAATCGAGGGATAAATTTAATTCTCCAAGAAGTTCCTGTATATTGTGTTGATGTTAAATAAAGCTTCCAAAAATTTTACTACAGTTGGGCCTGTTGGCATCTTTCCGATATATTTTAGTTATTTTGCACCACCGTAGACATAACATTATTTTCATCTGTAATTATATTTTGTAATTTTACTTTTTGCATGTAAAATGATGTTTATTTCAAGTTTCGTAGACGAGATCATGAAGTTCCACGATCAATAAACCCAATTGTAGATTTTATTGTTATAAATGGATTGAAAAAAATTAACTTAACATCAGAACAAAATTTGTAGATATTTTTAATTTTTTCGTGAACAAACGATACTTGTTTCACAAAAGGACTATAAGATGTACCTAATTTCTGATTTAGCCTATTTTTTAAAGTAAACATTGAAAAAAAGCATTCTATAAAAAAATTATTCCCAACTATTGATGAATGGAAAGGTACTGTACTTGTTATTTGCGCCCTTCACAAATATTTTACTTGGCAGTTAAATAAAGTGGCTATTAAAACCTTTAAAAGTATGGCAAATTACCTGTTACTGAAATGAAAAAAGAGTAACTTAACATATGTGCTAGACAAGACTAGTACGATCATAATAATAATTTTTTTAGCGAATGCATATCAATTTCTAAAATATCAAAAAAATTGCAATCCAATGACGAGCATACAGAATCACCATAATGATAACAAAAATCTATATATTTCTACTACACATGTAAGATTCAGTTACTTTAAAGCCAAACACAACTTCAGCTATGCTAATAGATTATTATGAGCCACATCTTCGTTTGTATGTAAGCAGAATAGATATTTTCTAAAGCCCTGTTCACAAGCGACAACTGTGGGGTACTTTATGTGAGAGGTCGAAAAAGATTAAAACTGACAATAAAATACGAAAAAGGTGGTAACCACTTCTCTGTTGAAAATTTATAGAACAGGGACACATTAAGCTATCCGAGTGGTAAATCAAACCCACATTACAAATGGTGCGGTGGCGCTACTGTGGCTTTGCTGTATTGTGATGTTAATTCTGGCAAGTATATTGATTAAGTTCTCGAGAGATTTCTGCTTGCGTAGTTCAAAATTTGATATTTCCTATCATTACTGTCCACGTAATTATGTTCAAAATCGATGCTGTCATAGAGAAACATTTGGGGAAAACACACAAAAACACTTTTAGTTGGTATTTTTGTCCCTGCTCTGGAGCTTTAGCTATTAGCGTACCCAATGTTGAAGGTGTACATGGTAAACAAATAATATAAAAGAGTACTTATTACTATACAAAGTTACTCACAAGAAGGTCGGCGGCACCTAAAAAATCAAGACGCAACCAGAAATACAATTTCAAAAGCATCTTTGTTATTCCTTACCATTTAAAAATGTACTTAACATACAACCTAGTTATCTGTTTTGTTACAATAACATTGAGGCAATACCAGCTACTAATTTTTTACGCGAGAAGCTTCTCGTAAATTTGGAATAATTTTAGAGAAATTCCTAATATGCAGTCTTGTATTCTTGTAGACAGTAAAATTATTGAAATATGTTAACCTAAGGTACAACTAGAAAAAGCAGTCATTTGAATGTGAAAAAAAAAGAAGCATTTTCGTTTAGCACCAGCCCTAATATCAGAGCGAGAAAATCAATAACTTACGAGTGATCATATGACTTCTGAACTGTGTAGGATTTTACAACTAATGTTTCACACCCTTGAACTACCTTTGTGTAGTCTCTCTAAGACGATCAAATTTCTTGTGAGGGTTTGTGAAGTGTTCCTTGTTATAATTCTTGTTACATGTGTGTACCTACACTCATGAGAAGTTATTTGAACAATATTCAGTAGTAGATTATTTAAGTATATTTCGTACGTTTGTTTCTAGCTTTTTAAATGATCCTTTGTATAAAGAAAGCATAGAAAGTTCCTTAAATTACAATACAAGATTATGTATCGAAAGAAGATTACGACTTCCGTTCATAGACACTCAAACAGGCGTAGCACAAAACCATTCTGCATTATTTATGCACAAAAGACAGCGAATTCCTGGATTGGTTCCGGGACAAATTTATGCATATCCCAGACAAAGGTGGCGAAAGAAACGAAGACAGTACTTAATCATGAATTCACGAGCATTTGCTAGAGCTGCGGACTCAATGTTGGATGGTGAAGTTGATATGCATAATATTTCGCAAATTGAAAATCCGGCTTTACAAGACACAGATAGTAAAGATAGTCAACTGTTATTAAAGGACGATGTTTCCAAGGTAATGTACAGTTATGATAATAATTGTTTAATTACTGATAACATTTGTTTATTATTATTTAGGATTGGTATTATGATGATCAAGACATGTTAGAAATGGATACGTATGATGAACCTGATCCAGATTCTGATCTAGATTATGAAGAAACATATAGTAAAAGAAGTAAAAGGAAAAAGACTACAACCAGGGTGAGTATATATTTTTACTTCAGAGCTGCAAATAAATAAATAAATCCGAAATTCCCTCCTAGCCATTTAAGTTTGTTTCAAATATGGTTTGTCTGCAGGGTCGAGGAGGCACAGATTCACCCAATGCTCCAGGCAGAAAGAAAGGCAGTGGAAGAGGTAGAAAGAAGGCAGTTCACAGTTTTGAGCCAACGCCTGGCGATCCAGAGAAACCATTTGCTTGTGAACGTGAGTGTACTTCTGAATTTTATTTTATGATTAGGTACATTTCATTTTTCATAAATCGATATTGTCGATATTGGAATATGTACTTCAGTTTTACAAGTACAAAGTCCCAATTTTTCTAGATATATTAAGTTTTAACTAGTACCTGATTAGTATTATTTCTTTATATGTATAAAACTGATAACTGGTGACTTTAAAGTCTTTAGTACATAGTAGTCAGACGCAGCATTTCCCAATAAAAGGTTACAATATTTGGTTGCATACATACAGAAATTGTTAGGGATTCATAACCTATATAGTTTTGCATATTGAAGTTAAATTTTGATATTGTCCAACTCATATATCTAATAGTACTATATTGCTAATTGGCCTCAAAAGAGTCCGAAAACATAACGGCAGGGCAACATATCGGACCTCTCTGTCTATCTGTGGTACTAAACAGTACTGCGCATACACTCGTACTCGCTTGATTTGTAGTCGATAGCGTGATTGGAGGCGTTTTGACATTTCGTACTTTCACTTCTATTTTGTGTACATGCGCACAGACCCTCGGTACTCTTATAGACAGAAAACACCATCTTCTGTCTCTCTCTGTCCGTGAACACCGTTTCTATGTTACTTCTGAAGAGTTAGCAATATATTAGTATTAGATATATGGTCCAACTTAACGTATAGTATAGTGGTTTTTTTTTTTAATAAAAATTTCAAAGTCAAAAGTGGTGTAAAGTTTCCGGTAATTGCCGTAATTCCAAGTAATTCTAGTGCCATTTTTAAATTTCTTTTAAAATTATCTATTCAAATATGTGACTAATTTCACTGCAATAGCTGAAATTACGTTGATGACCAGTCTTCACATTTTCGTTAAATAAATAACCGTTCCATTTATTTGTTCATGTGATCGTCTGGAAATAATTGCCTAAATAATTAAATGGAAAACAACGTATATTATTACGGTTATATTTTTAATTCTTCTATAAAACTTTAACAAAAAACACGAAATAACTGATCCCGAAACCAACAGCAAAGAAAACTTTGAAGTTGAGATATTAAAATGCTGCTTCGTCCGTGTGAAAGATCTTTTTTGTGGGGCAGTTTCCCTCAGTCGCATCTTTCTGGTCACTGTTTATAGGACTGTATAGAACCTATATGTCAGGTTTAATGTGTTTGTTTTTACACTTAGTTATTCGCAAATATTAAACACCGTCTTTACGAACTTATGATTTAATGTAATCGACTGTCCACTCCTTGAACTTTCGTCCTATTTTTCCGTATTTCTGTCATCAACTTGGTGTCCTTCATACATTAATTTACATCAGATATTTCTTAAACTGTTGGTTTGTGACTATCTTAACAAAGTTTTTTTTTGTCACTTAAGCGATACTGACTTTGAATCTACTTCAAATTGGACATTTTTCACAATATTAAGTTCGATTTCCTTTCGAACAACTTATAACGTTGTTTTCCTTTCCGTAATTTTTAAGTGTTGTACGCACAAATCTATAAGCACCACCTCTGACGTGTCAGTTGTTTATTGGATGTTTCACTAGTTGATAACAATTATTTCAATTGAATAGACTTCTCTCCTCTTAGGTTCACTAAAAGAACTAAACTCCAAAGAAGTCATTAAAGGGTGGTAGCTTTAACGGTTAATCTGGAATTCTCACATTTCGTACTGAATTCAGTTTAAACACCACTCAATTCTTCTTTCATTTTGATTTCTCCACAAAATTTTAGTTGTCTTCACTAGACTATATGTAATAGAATTTTTATAATTTTGGCAAGATGTTGTAAAACGGTATATTTCTTTTTCTGTCTTCGTTCGACACACTGTATGTACGTAGATATACGTTTCCGCTCCTAAAATGCTAGGAACTCCGGGCATTCTTTACCTACTGAAATACAGTATGCTATTCGGCAATTATCTATCAATTAGCAAATCTTTCTGACTGCTGCGCGCAACTGTCCCTTACTTCGCAGGTAGTTTGCGCGCAACTGACCCATGCCCTGAAGTATATATTACCACGAAAAAGTTTTCGACGGCATTGCAAAAACGTGTTCTAAAATTTGTATCGAAAAATACGTCCTGATCTCGGTAAGGCGTTGGTAACTTTTGTTTCACGAACGTTGTATTAATTGGATACAAGTTCCTTATTAGTTTGTTTGTATTTATTGCACAGATAAATCAGTTTAAATTTTAGTGTTTGTGTCATCACAAAAAATTATCCTAGGTACTGTTTTAATTTTTATTACATTGTGACATCCATTAAATGTACTGCGGTTAATGAACATTTTTATTTTTTTTTAAATATTCAATTTAAACGAAATATTTCGGTAACCTTATCTCACGATGATCTTTTTGGGAATGATAAACTCGTCTTTCTTACTTTGTTCATCAGTTAAAAGTGCATAGGACATGCTATTTATTTTATCTAGAAAAAATAAATCTAAAAAATCGGGTAGGTAGAGTTAATTGAGATTCAGTTTTAGCTTTAAAAAAAAAATGAGAAAAATTGGGATTACTTGTTTATCACTTTTATGATGTTGGTTTGACAGATTATTGTGAATGTTATTATGCGATTTGTAAGTTGTTTATTCAATAATATTCTTATGCCTTATAAGTGGGTATTGGTTTGGTTTGGAAAAAGTACATACTTCAATGCAGTTTCACTTGAAGTATATTCAATTCACCTTATAAAGAAAGAACTCTGTGCTTGAGCATGTAACATTAAAATAATCTTTAAGAACTATGTTGAAGATGAGTTGTAGTTCTCTTAGCCATAATAATGTTTTTGAATGCTTGATGCTTAGTACAGCTTCTTCTTATTGTTTAGGCAGGGACTCGAACCGAAACTGTGTCATGCTTAAGTCACGTCTACTAAACAGTAATGTTATTATTTTTTCAGTAGTGTAATTCCACTTTTTTGTTGCGATTCCAAATTTCGGTTCGGGTTCGCTTACCTGGCGCTTGGGTTCTTTAAGCTACACCTAGTTTTGTCTGTTGCTAACTAACTTTTAACACGTATATAGGGCGTATTGTGTGCTTTCTTGTCGCAACCCAAATTTTGAACAAAATTATCGGTTCCAGTCCCTAGTTCTATTCATTTCAAAATGATGATCTTCTGAATTACGGTGTAAGAATCTGGACGAGTCTACAAGTATTCAAGATGGTGGTATTTGTGCTGTATTCACCGTTTCGCTTTTTATACTAACACCGTTTCCTCGTTCAACTAATAACGTACCTAGTTTATATTAACCATGTCGTGTTTTTGAGAAATAATAGGGCAATATGCAACATTCGACCGCAAAAATGGCATAAAAGGAAGAACAGGACAATATATAACAAAAGTAACGCCTATAATACAGGTTTGGACTACGAGATAGCTTTCTAGTAATGTATGTTATTACATTACTTAAATTTTGAATGCACAGTTTCTGAGCGTATCTTTGGGGCTTAACCTTCATCGATCTTTTCGAGATTTCCATTTTCACTTTTTAAAATAATTGGCTTTCAGAAGATTATCGTTTGAAAATCGTCTGTAACATAATTCATCGTTTTCGTGTAATCAGAAAGTGGAATTCGGCATTTTTTCTTTTTGAAAAATTTCAGTGTGCGGAGCGCGTTACAAGACTCGGCCCGGGTTGACATACCACTACAGCCATTCACACAAAGAGGGCGCTAGTGATGAAAACTCGCGCGACAGTAATGCCCCCACCCCTTCCTCACAGCTTGGCGCAGCGCTGATTCAGGCCCCGCACGGTCTCAACCCGCCCATGATGGGTGGGATGTTGCCTGGGCCCGTCATGTCTCAGCCACCCATGCTGGGGGGGATGGGGGAAGAGGCCCCTTCTGCCATACCTCAAGGGCCCGCCATCCAAGGACATGTGTATCAAGATAGTTATGTTTCCTTTTTGAACCAGACACCCGGTACTGCCTTTATAATCTCTTTTACTTTCATTTGAGTGTTATTTGCATGCATGAGTAGTTGGAATGATATGCTCTATTAGATCAGTTTTATATTTTTATTTAACTTTGTAGTTTCTTCAATAATTTATTTTGTAATTTATTAACAAATCCAAGTCTTAATTTTGGCAGTTAAGTGTATTATTGAAAAATATCAGTTACTGCACACTGACCAGTTCTATAATTATGTGTTTCAGGAGTGTGATTTGAAGCATGAGTGTATCTTTTTTTTTAAGTTTTCTTTCGTATGATGGAAATCGGTGCCAACGCATCATACAAATCACGATATAGAAAGAAACTTTCTGTTGAGACTGATTTCGCATCAAACTTTTTTTTTTTTTTTTTTTTGATTGAGGTGACCCGTTTCATAACTTTTTTATTGTATCCTTTTTAGAAGAAAGATAATGGTGGAGTTAACTCAGAACTGTATCCTACAGGTACACCGAGTCGCCGAGGCCGTCAACCAAACCCACCGCCTCCTATACCTCCACAAATCATGCAACAACCACCATCACAATCGAACACACCTCCCACTCTCCCCCCAAATCTTCCTGCTCAACCATCTCCTCCTGTTGATGATCCTCCGATGCCTGTTTTGCTTCCAGAAAAAATCGATCCTCCTCCATCTACGTCAATGGACTGTGGTAAAGATAAAGCGGCACCTAGTCCGTATTGTGACTTTTGCTTAGGCGATTCAAGAGAAAACAAAAAAACCGGAGTAATGGAGGAACTCGTTTCATGTTCAGATTGTGGCAGATCAGGTAAGAACGGAGGGAAAGCCGATGATAAAGGAAATAATAAGAAAGGAGGAAGAAAAAAAAAAGTTTAGTTCAAACTGTTACTAGAATAGACGTTGAAGGTTTCGTTGTTGACCAATTTTTACGGAGCGTTGGGAAATTATTTAAGAAAAATATAAATACTCAACAATCATTATAGGTTGTTTATTAATTATCATTATTTACATAAACTACTGTTGACTTGTAGTGGTTGTTGAATGTTTATTTGTATGTAGCATGTTTAAATTGTGGGTCCTATACCTGATGTTTTAAGACAAAACATTCGTAACACCATTTTATCAAAATTTTGAAGTAGAAAATTGTTGTAAAGGAAACTGTCTAAATGTTGCGTCTTAGTCATTTCTTTTCTGATAGTTAAATCGCTGAAGGACCAATACTGGGCATTTATATATTGCATATATTTTTTTCATCTACAAGATTGTTGATATTAAGTTTCCTATAGAACTAATGAGCTGCCAAAAAATGTACAAACGTTTATCTTTTTATCTCACAAGCTCAAACTTTTTTTTATCTGTGATAAATATTCGAATACCTAGTTCAATTTTCAGTCAGATCATTACCATGAGATTAAGGAAATCAATCTCAATTACCTGATTAATGAATAAGCCAGAGAGCTTCGACATTTTGAAAGTGTCTAGTATTTAATATTACTAAATTTATTTACATCTAAAGTCCATTCAAGCTACAGCTTATAACTCAAAATGAAAACAATTCTTTCAAAATAGACGATTCTCAAACATTTAAACAAATCTTACACATGATTTTAATGTCCAGTATTATTTGTTTATCAGTTCCTTTTTTGTTTGTAATATCTACGGATTTGTACTATACACTGCTAACTTAAAACAGTTGATTCTATCATTGATTGTTCATAGTTATTTTATTCTATAGTTAATTGATATATTATAGATAATCCTTAATCAACTGTATTGTGCTTTAAGCTAAGTAAATTAGTTAAAAAACTTGCCAGATAGACTGGATTACCAAATATTTATTCTTTAGTTGGGGCTAATTCTATTTGAAAAAATCCATATTGGATTGTCTTCCAAAATTAAAGGATTTATTTATTTCATTTAGTCAAGGCTTATTTATTTATAATAGTATAACATTTGTAAATGGGCAATACTTATAAAGTAGTAGTATAAAAAGGGAAATCACAGGGGTGTAAGATGAGAGGTTTGAAAACCAATTCAGTTCTTGTGTGCTCTGTAAGAGCAGTTTTTTTTTTGGCACCGTCGTGATGCAGAATTATGTTGGCATTATTTGTGACACGAAACTGATAAAGTTATTGTTTGGTGCATAAAGTTAATATTTTTTTGTTAATCGAAAGCCCTGCATTTAATGGTCATCATAATGTCAGTGAAAATAGTTGGAAGTTTTTATTCCGTTTTTCACTGCGTTATTGTGATCCATATAATGTTATGGCAATGACCATATCTAATCTAAGTTGTGGTGCATTTATGTACTGTTTTGCAAATTATCAAGTATTGCCGAAACTCCAAAATTAAAAATAATTAAATCAATCCCTACACATAGTTACTTTTATATAGTGCTGTATCAAATGAGTCACTTCTTTTGGATGATATTTACACCGTAACGAATTGGAGATTATAATTTCACCAGGAAGTTGTGTAAAAATCATTCAAATATAATAATAATACACTAATGAGTTGTAAGAACAGTTATTTTCCAAGATTAATATTATTAAAAAATGTATCGTGAAAATCGTGCAATAAAATGATGCCAATACAACAAAATGTTGTTAATTTTCCAGTGCTGAGGATTGGTGCACTTCAATTTATGTCATTTTTCCATAACATTTTTCTTGTTATTTTAATGCATTGAAATTACTATTCAAAATTAAATTTATTTTGATGCATTCAAAATAATATTAGAGAAAAATTACGTAACTTGGAAAGTCACTGTTCTTCGGCACTCGTTATAACCTATTCCCTTTTATTTTCTCATTAAGGTAAGTAAAACTGACTCTTTGTTTTTGTGTAGTTTTATAGACAAGTGGCGTATTGTATTGCATATATCGCGTTCGTCATTAAGTCATATTAAATTTAATATTTTTTAACTGCAGCTTCAACTATCATACAAGGATGTGGGTAGTAAAAATTGCAGAGTAATTTTGCGACAATTTGTGTAATCGTTACTAAATTGTACGTTTCTTTTCGCAGGACTTTATACGATGTTTACTAAATATATTTAAATAAAAAAAGTCACTTTGGGATTTCTAGCCGATTAGTATGAATCTTAATTTAATTTTTTATCTAACAACCATCGTAGGTTTTATTACATAAGTATACATATAAATTTATGTGATTGTTTTGGTTTTTTTTTATGTCAAGAATACTGACGTTTACATTTATTAATCATGGTAAAAGTAAAAGTCGTTCATTACGGATGAGCCAACAATAAAAGTTATGTTGCAATAAATGCAAAATATAGTAGTTGAGCGGAACACCTTCCTATTGATATTTCGGACTTTCATATTTGAATAACATTAATACTCAGTTGTGAAGACGGATGACATAAAACGGAAATGAATCAACAGATTTTCTTTTTTCTTTTTTTTGCGAAATACTTAAAAGTTTAACACTACAGTGATATTAGAGTACACAGAGTTGTCTACTATACATGGTCTAATTAAACGCTTTCAAAATTTAAAAGGAAGACCTTACATTTTTTATCATTTCGGGTATTAAACAGAAACATTGTCGTAATTTCGTGTAAACCTTTGCAGTATTATTATCCATTTTTTTTATTTCCGATCTTTCTGAATATCATCTAGTGCAATTACTTTGCAACAGATTCGTCCTAGAGCGATTAGGAAACGGTACAAATTTTTGCAAAAATACTAGCGACAGAACCAATTGAATCTTGTTGGTTATGTATTTTCTCCTAAGTTTTGTGTGCTTCCATTTATTTTATAATATTGCGATCTAAATGATTTATCTAATTATATAGAATTTACATAGGAAGAGAAGTGGACATTAGCTAAAAAGTTTCCAAATAAGTTCACTTTGGTTCACCGTAAAACTAGTCCTAAGTTCTCTAATAATGCAGACAACTCTTTTAGGGTGGTTAGAAATTCATTATTTTCAATTAATAGTCATTTTAGATGACTGCAAAATTACGTTGAGTAGTTATTTAATAAAAAAAAGTATCACCTTAAAAATCGCCGATTAACGATAACTTTTTTTTTGTCATACACTTGTTAGAAAGTATATTTTTTAAGTAAAATATGGAAATCTTGTGCGCAGTAAAAAAGTGCAAAAACAGTCTAATTTTTAGATGGTTTTATTTATAAATTGATTTATAATTATTAATTAATTCCTATTTAGGTAGGTATTGGTTAACTTTTAATGTGCCACGATAGTTTTAGAATTTTTTAAATTTATTGAAGGGTGCAAAATGCAAACAATGTTCTTAGATGACGTTTATTTTATAGAATGTTTACAAAAATTTTATAAAAAAAAAGTGGTTGAAACATGAATTATTTTTATTAAAATATGATAACATTTTGCTGCTTAGTTGCGCTACAGAGTGATATCAAAGTGTCGAAATTAATATTCAAGCCAACTTATGTTAGCTTCGGGGAAGCTTAAGGCACACTTAAAATTTTGAAATAATCGGTTCCTTAGATTTGAAGCTTATCCGCAGTTGTTTTTAAACGTGTAAATCTTAAAAGACGTTAATGAAATATATTTCTTTCATTTCGAACAAAACCAGAATTATTATCAAGTTTGTAATTAGCATAATTTATTTTTTCGGAAATCGTAAGGAATTTTTAAATACTTAGATCCGTTTTCACAGTTTACAGATATTCGAACATCTTGGATAAAAGACAATAGGTACTGAAAAAAAAAACGGTGAAGAGATCGAACCGTCAGTCTGTACATATAGTATGAAATAAAATCATTATTAAATTTGTTTGTAACGTGCGTTTAACAAAAAACGTCGTCTTGTTGTCCTTAGGTTTTTAGCTGTTTTTTACATTTTCCGTTGTCAGTAGCAGTCGATGAAAAGTGGTTTTCTCCTCATCAAGCGCCATTTTAAGAACGCTTTCTAGGAATGACATTTTTGAGTAAAGAAACCCCAGTTTTTCGGAAATAGTATAATTTATGTATACATATAAAATGCAGTTAATAAAGCCAAATCAAAATCCGGCCAACCGATATGTGTTATGTTTAGCACTCTTCATTACTTAATACAGTACATTTAAGAGTAGAGTTTTAAGAATTACAGTATTGGTTGAAATAAAAAAAAATGGTAGTACATGTGCAACGTAGATGGCACTTACTCAGGAGTATGGAATTTTCTGGATGACCTGAAGATGAGTACTTAATTTCACAAAAACGCCCACGGAAATTAAAACTGGTTTTATGATTTTAGCTTTTCCAAATTCCTCATTTACGAAGAAAGAGCATCTTATAACTGGAACTAAAGTACCTCGAAACAGATAAGCTGGTCCTGTTTATGAGTCCACTACCTGATACACCCTAAAAACAGGTAGCGGACTTTTGTTGTGTTTTCATAAACAGGACCGGCTTATCTAGGAATTTGAAAAAGCTAAAGTCATAAATCGTCTAATGAACTGTTGACAAGGGTTAGTGATGAATGTCGTAAAATTCCATCGGATTATGACCATTACTGAATTTTTATCTAGGCATCTAATTTAACAAACAATTGAACGCTACAAAAAAGTCGTACACATTCATCTTTTATACAGTTAAATGAAAAAAGGTGGATATAGTTAGATACTTTTTATGAATTCTTCATGGTTTTGAAAGATTATCGACCTACAACTTTTTATTATTATTATTAATCTTTAAGATAAAAAATAAACTGTTTTTTAAAGATCAAATTCAACTTCACAGAATTTTAGTACCTACTAAATTACACAATTAGTTCATTTTTGTTTTAAGTACTCTACTGTAATAAATATGCACTCATCAGTCAGCTTTTAACAACTGATATTTTTTTAACTATAACGTCTGCAGCGTATGTCTCCGTGGTCAAAACATTGCTATTATGACATGTGGTCTTCTGATATCCGATATAATAAGGAAATGTTAATAAAATCTCCTATTCTTTCTATGTTTTGTCTTTTTTTTTAGGTCATCCAACATGTCTCCTGTTCACAGAAAACATGAAAATATCAGTAAAAAAATACAGTTGGCAGTGTATTGAATGTAAATGTTGCTCAGTTTGTGGAAATTCAGATAACGATGTAAGTTTCAATTCCATTTTCTTTAAACGTGAAATAATCTGTTAATTTTTACATGTTTTTAGGATCAGTTGTTGTTTTGTGACGACTGTGATCGTGGTTATCATATGTACTGTCTATCCCCGCCTTTGACTGATCCGCCAGAGGGATCGTGGTCCTGCAAACTATGCATCGAGCAATTCCATAAATAATAATATTACTATTAAACAAAATTTTTGAAGTTTTCCATTTGTTTGAAGTGTAAATGAATATAGATTTAGTTTAAGTATTTTTTTTATAATTAGTACTTAGAATAAGATTAATATGTGCACTAGGTACTTAATATGATTATTACAGTACTTAAAATTTACTTTGGCCTACTCTAAAACTTTTTTAATGCTATGAGTCGTTTTAAGAGTTTGTTTTTACAGCTACCTCGACGAATTATAATTTGTAAGTACCTAACTAAGTGACTAATTTTTGCGAAGATACTTTGTTTTTTATACTTTACATTAAACTGTGACAATATTTTTAACAAATTATATATTTTTTATGTATAATTGCCCATGTAATTATTTTCATGGCAGAAAAATATATGTATAACATTTTAGCAGTTATTTTTGTTCCGGAACCAATAACAAGAAAAGTTATAATAGTTGTATATAAAACCAAATTCTATCACCATCCACAGTACTTGCTGCTCTTTGATATTTACAGTTTTACTTTTATTTATTTATTAGGATAAACCTACGGCGTACATTACATTATTAACGGATAGAAATTGTGAATATTTGGATAATTTAAGGTGGTGCAACTTCATCGTTCGAAAAAATGAAAAAAATAAACTTGGACATTTTAATGTTTGAGAAAATCGAAAATGCATGTCCGATTTGTCTTCACGCATACTTTGGTGATTGCACTTCTTTGCTATCAGTTAAAGGGAAACAAATTTTAGATTAGCGTAATAAAAATGTGTTAGAACTAGTAAAATTACGGAACTAATATACGTACAATTCCGAGGTTGTATTTGATGGCCGATGATATAGGCCACCAATCAGACGCGTGACACATCAATCTTTCTGTGGAAATAAAAATGATTTATTTTGCAGTTTTTGCTACTAAAACAGTTTAAACACGTGCCAGTAATTTTACAGATCCTCAAATTCGCAAAAAATTGTAATAATCCATAAAATATAGACTTGATCAGCGAAGGTGTTGCTCATTTTAAATAGCCCGCGCTAGGAAACAGATGATTTCAGTAACTTGGGTTTTTGTTGTGACTCACATCCGATTCGTGTCCTAGTACTGGTTTGTTGATTCTTGTCGTGTTTTTTCGAAAAACCTCTCGAAATTTGTGTTTTCTATGCAAAATTTGTGGCCAGTGTTTCTTGGTGGTGTTGTGTATATATTCAGGTAAGTTCTCTTGAATAAAAATCCAACAAAACGATGTTTTTCGACTCCAACTTGGACAAAATATGTCACCATAAGTTCCTTGAAATGTGTTTTATAAATTGTACCTTGCAACGCAACATAATTGGATACAAAGTTGTTATTGAAGTTTATTTTTGGGTTTATTTTATAGATTTAATCAATTTTCAATATAAAGTTGTGTTTTGTGTATGCTACTTTTACAAAACCCATATTTGCATTGTTCTTTGTTTTGAAAGTAGCGCTGTTGTCATTTGTTCCACTTGGCGTTTCTAAAAAAAGTGCTGATATATTTTTTTACAGTTAATAATTGTTATTGTTTTACAATGGAATTGCTTACTACATTTACATAAAAATAGTTATAAAGTAATTATCTTTAATAACAAACAGCCTTACGTTAAATAAACGGTATGTGCTAAGTAAGCACTTTGACTTAGAATTTCATAAAGAAAAGTTGCCTGCGTACAGTCAAATTTTACAAAAATTGTACCACCAATTTTATAATTCCATAAACAAAGTAAACATTTAAGGGGATTAGTTTTTTTCTTTTATATTCGTATACACGTAAATATTTTTATAAATCTGTAAATACATGTAAACACCATATGAAATTCTGAATATCTTGAAAAAATACTGCTTTTCACCCAAACATCAGTAATAGTAGGTGATAATTAGACAATATAGGTGTGAATTGTTTATTTATAAATACAGAATATAACGTGTCCGTAGTGCGTTTTTAGTTATGCATGTAGTGAAGTGGATATTAAAACTGCTACTTCTCCAAACACGACTAAAATAAGATTGTTTTAATTAATTTAACAAATTCATTAAAGAAAAATACGAAACTGCAGATATTGTAATAATACATTGGTAAGTTAATTATAATTCGATTTCATGGAAAATTACACAGCGCGTATTTTCCATGTCAGGATTTTAAAGAATACGTAAAATGGTAGGTATCTCACGTAGATGTTTTTAAAAACGTGTTGAACGTCACGTCCCCGGTTATCATACTCACCGATGATGCTCTGAAAACAGCCACTCATATTAACACTTTCTATGAGATTTGTACATTCATGTAGTATACTAAACCTACTATTTTTGGATACTAATAAAATTTTGTGATCACTTGGGCTTCATTATATGAACAATGATAACAGCATACGTATGAAGGATATAATTTATAGCTTCAATTCATGGTGAGGGGTTGGGAATTTTGAACTTTAAAGTTGTATAATTTTACAAGGACTCAAAAGTAGGGAATTTAGTATAAGTTAAAGTGTACCAAGTGGACAATTTTTTTGATTATTTAAAATTAAAAACTACCTTATCTTGCAAACAAAATACCACAAAAGTTGGTGTAACCTGTGATGAAAAAAAATAAGCACCGTGGATGGTTCTCTCATTTTCCTGTTTTCGTCTTTTCGAAATTAAATTAATTTGTCCATTTTTACTTATTTTGGAAACTTAAATGTACATTTAGTCTTGTACGTGGTAATAGTCAGACCTGTTATCTATCAACCTCTTCCTATTGGACCACTTCCTGTTCAGATTCTTGTTCAGAACGTGTTTATTTTTATTTTATCATGAATCTGAGATCATAAGTTATATAAAACATGTGAGTTTTATTTTATATAAACTACAAATTTTTTGGAACTATGTATTTAAATTTACGTACAACGTAGTTAAGCGTGGACTGAATGCAGATTTTTACTACTCACTTCATACTGCGTCTCGATTTTGTTTTTCACCACGCTTATAATATGAGATATTATCTGACCATTACGATGAAGCATGTCTCCTACATTTTTTCATTTGAATTTTAGTGAGTTGGATATATTAAGTTTTAAAATGATTTAGATTTACATATTTATGCAAAAATGCCCTTTTATTGTTATCTTCCTGTGCAATAAATTTTACGCAGAAGATGGTTTTTGAAGCCTTTATACATAGCTACGCCGTAAAGATTAACTGGTGACGTATAGTTTTATCTAAATCATGTATCTAGAAAACTTTCAATAGCAATGATTAAACAGTTTTAAGGAATTGTTAAAACAGCTGAGGTTTACAGGACACGTTATACAGGGTGCCGCATCCAAGTCTGGATATAGGGAATTAACATGGGAATTGGTTTTTATTTTATAATATCTCCCCAGATCACTTTAAAGCTATTATTGAGTGATGCCTTTGTGGAGGTCGAAGAGGGCTATCGGCCAGTATTTTTTTCAAATCGTTGCATCGCGCTCATTCACTATAAAAAGGTTTTAAAAATCGTATTTTGAAATTCGCGCCCGATCCGATTTGTCGCGAAGTGCTCCGTCCCACTGTCGAAGTTCGGCGATCGCGTGTTTGAATTAATCATGCAAAATCCAAACGTCAAAGTGAAATTAGAAATTATTCTCAGAAATCAACGAACTCAAGCTGAATTATTTTATCCAGTGTGATGATCATTGTAAGTCAATTTAAACGGAATAAATGCACAAACTGAACAAAATATTTTATTAGGTTATGCTATGTTCTATTGCGATTAGATGAAAAAGCGAGGGCCTGCTTGTTCTTCAACGGTTAATTTAATTAGTAGGTAATTTGGGTAAATTTCACACTTTTTTTTCGAATCACTAAAGATTGGAAGTCAATTGATTTTACATTCGTTAAGCAGGGATGGAATTTTGCCACCTGGAAGCATGTTCGTTACAAGAAATTTTTGAGATAGAAATGTAGAACATTGATTCATCAACATTTTAAAGTATTTTTCTCTATTACGAATGTGTTTTGGGATTCAGAAACTTTTGTATTACTGTTTTATTTGTTTATTTTGTTAACAATAACAAAAATAAAAATAATATTTCACAAAACAAAGTTACATTTATTTTCAAAGGTGATAAAAAGTAAATAAAATCAGGTGGGCACAACGTTTTCTAGGGATCTTAGAGAGATGGGATAGAAGTTTCAAAAAGCATCATGACAAAAAATTGAAGCCTGAGGACTACTTCTCACGTATGGAGTTTTACGAAGAAACGCTTGAGAGAATCTAGGCTGATGGAGAATTTTTCAGGAACATTTGTTTTACTGACGAATGTTCATTAGGTCTTAAGGGAAGTTATAATCGTCAGAACGATCAAATTTAAGCATTACACAACTCTCACGTGGTCCATGAGTATCGTTATCAATGGCGTACAACTGTCAGTGTATGACTGGGGCTTCTAGGACATCATGTCATTGCACTTTTTTTCATCGAATCCGGAATGGATGCTCAGAAGTAGGACAATATGCTAGCTCAGCAAATACTTCCTGAGACTCGAAGGGTGCGGCATCTGCAGCAGGTCTTTTACATCCAGGACCAAATCTCCAGCCATAGAGCTCTCATAAATGTTGTCTATTTGATCCAGTATTTTCCCCCAATGTTGGAATGAAAAATTTGCACCGCCCCATTGGTCTGTGCATTCGCCGGATCTAAATTTTTTCTTTGGAGATTTCTTCACGACCATCTGTATTCAAACAATACCAGCTATACAAACAGAGAACGCTGAAACAAGCAGTCCAGCAATATTGTCTGCAGATTGCAACTCAAATGCTGATCGACACGCGTAGGAGTTTTGAAGATCGGCTTACTTACTGTACAGCTGCTGAGAGCAGTCTTTTTGAGCAATTATTGAAAATAGTGCAATACTTCTCCAGATTCGTACAATATTTCATTACTTCATTCATCAACAATTGTTAAGTTTTGTTCTTTGTAGTTATCTAAATGCTTTATTAAAAGGTTCTCTTCAAAAGCGCCAGCTGTTTTGATGGTAAATCTTATCATCACACAATAAGAAAAGCGGGCCCTCGCATTTTCATCTAATCGCAGTAGAACATGGCATTTTAATGAGATTTTAGTAATAAAGACTCGGCCAGCACCAGCAGCATAACCTAATAAAATATTTTGTGCAGTTTGTGCATCTATTCCGTTTAAATGGACCTACAATAATCGTCATATTGGATAAAATAATTCGATTTGATTCGTTCAGTGATTAACTGAGTGAGGCAGCGCGAGTACATTCCTAGCTTGAGGGCTCCCGGTACATGTCAAAATGCTGCCGATGGGGTTTTGAGGAAGACCAGCTGCTCGAAGACTTCATCTCGGGCTTTTTGGATACGGTCTGAGTGTAGTTCCGAGATGGCTCGTTTAGCGGGGTCGCGCACTATGACGAATGAATGGAACAATTTGTACATTTATTCCGTTTAATTTGTCCTACAATAATCATCACACTGGATAAAATAATCCAGTTTGAGTTGTTCGTTGATTTCTGACAAAAATTTCTAATTTCATTTTGACATTTGGATTTTGTATGGCTATTTCAAAGACGCGATCGCCGAACTTCGACAGTGCGACGGAACATTTCGCGACAAATCGGATTGGGCGCGAATTTCAAAATACGATTTTTAAAACCTTTTTACAGTGAATGACCGCGATGCAACGATTTGAAAAAAATACTAGCCGATAGCCCTCTTCGACCTCCACAAAGGCATCACTCAATAATAGCTTTAAAGTGATCTGGGGAGATATCATAAAATAAAAACCAATTCCCATGTTAATTCCCTATATCCAGACTTGGATGCGGCACCCTGTATGAATATTTGTGATGAAGTAATTTTACAATTTAAATATCCGGTTGTTATAAATTTTAAAACGCGCGTGCTGTTGTACACTAGTTTACTGAAAAACCATAATGAATATTTCACTGAAATGAATTTTAATTTATTTCATTATATTCATTTGAAATAAGTGTAATGAGTAACCGTTACACACTTCGTAAGTGGAGTTACGAATGTATTTACTAATTTATTTAACATTTCCGCTTCCTTCTGTTTTCTTTTCTGGCGACTGCAGATAATATTCGAAACTATGAAACCAACTACTTCTGGCGTTACCTAAAATTTTTAGTGCTTCCCATTCAAAAAATTGTTGGCGCCCTTCAAAACTATTGTTACCTAAATTTTAG